CATTCGCTCAGCCCGTTGCAGCGAGCAGCTTGCTACTCGCAAGGACGTTGTGTCCTCTCTTCTGGACTTGAGCATGCTCCAAGCTCGTTAGGAGCGACTCACCCTCCATGTCGCTGCACTGCGTCGCCTTCTTGCCATCCTCTCTGACCCTGATCGCACCCTCCCGATCATCTCAGTACGACTCGGGACCTCCACGAGGGTGTACTCAGCGCTGTGGGATTCCGGTTCTCAGGGCGACTTCATTCACCCACGCGTGGTGAAAGAAGCCCGCTTACCCACAACAGGGTCTCCGACTCCCATCTCCGTTACCCTAGGGGATGACAAGACCCAACGCTTCTTCGATCAGACGGTCACCGACCTCCCCTTCTTCCTCACTCTCGAGCCGACTGATCGCTCCCCGGCGTCTCCTCGCCACCGCTCCTCTGCACATTTCGATGTGATGGAGACGGGGTACGACTTCATTCTCGGCACTCCGTGGTCTCGTCGGTTCCGCAGCACCGAGGCCGATTGGGCGACCAACACTCTCGTTCTCGAAACGAAGTGTGGACAGACTTATCGCGTACCTTTCATAGGTACCACGACGACACCACGCCCCGATCTTCCTCCTCCGGAGCCTTCGGTGCCCACACCATCTCCCTCTATCACGGTTACCTCGCCTTGGCAGTTCGCTCACTTCATTCGACAGGACGACGTCACCTTCTTTATGGTCGACGTGATGGATCTCTTACACTATGATCCACCCTGTCCCGACGCCGAGCTCATCCCTCTGGAGCCAGATCCTCCCTCTATCTCCATCGCTCCCATCTCTACTTTTGTCCCTCCGCCGTCCGTCGAGTCCACCACGCCGTCGTGCGCTGACGCTGACGCTGAGGAACTCGCACGATATACGGCTGACTTGGAGCCCGCAGTTTGTGACCTCATCCGAGAGTACCACGACGTTTTCCCATCGTCGTTCTCGTACGCCGGCATCCCACCGATGCGTGACGTCGAGCACTCCATTCAGCTTGTGCCTGACTATCGTGTTCACCCCCAGGCACCCTACAGACTCTCGATCCCCGAGGCCACCGAACTCAAGCGTCAGCTTGAGGAGCTCCTGAGACTGGGTTTCATTAAACCCATCAACTCCCCGTGGGGTGCACCCGTCCTCTTTGCTCGCAAAGCGGACGGAACTCTCCGTCTCTGCATCGACTATCGCGGTCTCAACCGCTACACGGTTAAGAACAAATACCCCATGCCTCGTTCCGATGAGTTGTTCGACCGCCTAGCAGGCAACTGCTTCTTTAGGAAGATTGATCTTCGTAGCGGTTACCATCAGATCCGCGTCGCTGCAGCTGACCAACCGAAGACCGCGTTCCGATCACGATTCGGCCACTACGAATTCACGGTGATGCCATTCGGCCTCACTAATGCTCCTGCTACCTTTCAGAGGGCGATGAACGACATCTTCAGGGACATCCTGGAGCAATACGTTCTCGTCTACCTCGACGATATCCTGGTCTACAATTGTACCCTTGAGGAGCACCTCAGACACCTCCGCGACGTCCTTGACCGCTTGCGCAATCATCGTTTCTATGCCAAGCTGAGCAAGTGCCGCTTTGCCCAGCACAAAGTGGATTTCTCAGGACACTACGTGTCTGACCAGGGTCTCCACATGGACGACGCGAAGATCACTGCTATTGCGGAGTGGCCCGCCCCCACATCCGCCAAGCAGCTTCGCAACTTCCTAGGCCTGACCAGCTACTATAGTGACTTCATCCGGGGATACGCTAGGTATTCCTACGTCCTTACCTCCACCCTCCTCCGGAAGAACCCACCCTGGGCTTGGACACCCCTCCACG